GTGACCCCCGCCGTATCCCCCCACCTGCCATCCGCCCTCCCATAAACACCCACCAGCGTCCCCAGCAAACCCACCGAGCTATTCATCACACCAGGCATGAAGACCTTGCTACACAGCCAGATATAGTTATATCTATGAACAAAGAATATATACCCCATACCTAGGAGGCCAAGACCGGAGGTGATGGAAGCGATGACAAGGAGAGGGATATGTTGCGCTGTGTTTATAATGGTTTCTGTTGTACCCGAGAGTTGGGATTTTGATAACGTATTGAATGTCCCTGGGAAGATGATGAAGCCCGCTAGTAAGAGCCAGGTACTTAGACCGGCGAGGATGTTGTGTGTGGTGGGGATGGCGTCGAGAGCAAGGAGCATGCGCATATATTCTGTTTGTGGGGGTGGGAAAGAGCCCGTTGGATGGAGTGCTTGGTGGGTGTATGCGTGTGATGGGTTTTTGTAGGAGGAGCTGGTGGAAAATGAGGAATTGGATTGCGAGCTTTGTTTCCGGGGGTAGATTTGTTGGGGTGGGAGGTAATTGGAGGGCATCTTGGGGATGTGAAGTGGTGGAGGAGTACGCAGATGGGATATTGCTCGTGATCCTAGGGCTTTGGCGGGTGTGGATGTTGATGACATTTTGGATCGAAGGTAATAGTTGACGGTCAACGTCGTGATATGAAAGAAAAGAAGTAGTTAACCCCGGAGAATAGTGAAGATTAATTAGATGAGAAGACAACGTCTTTCTTCAAAACAATAGGAAAGAAATACACATAAGAAATGGAAGATTGACTTGCAGAACGAAAAGATTGGAAGAAATTGTCCTCATTATAGATAGAACATACAAATCTATTTCAAGCACTTGCTTGCTCCTCCAGTTCTGCGGCAAAGCGCTTGTGACTCCATTATGAAGCGCGACACAGCATTTCTTGGTCTAGACCCATCCTCGTACACAGATGCTGGAGAACCTCTCAAGTTACAATCCTGAGAATTTCTGTTTTTAGTGGCGTCTCTTCCGTGCCATGGTGGCCAATGAATTTGATGCTTGACAATGATGTTGAAATTTGGTTGGGGCCACAGGCGCTTGCGAACGACAGGGACTTCTGACGCTTTGATTGGGTGCTCATTCTGACCCACCTCATGCTAAGCGATAATAGGTCCCCCGCCGAGCCCGCCTACGCGTTCCAACAATGAAGTTGGAAGGAAAATCTACTTTGTAGATTACCGTATTAATTAGAGGATAAGACAGCATATAGTATTGATAAAGTTTCTCAAATGAATAATCGCAACCTCATTTCATACAAAAAGCAATAACTTACCCCCAGTTACACCGCTTCTCCTACTTTATTTGAATCACAAACTCCTTTACATGTTTAGATAGAGTTTCATTGGGCTCGTAATTAATTAAAAGGCAATTTAGGGGTAATTAAGGGGCAATTTGGAATGATAATATTCGTGATCAGTAGCCTAGGTTAACACCTTCTATTATATTACGATATATCGTATACTAAAATGAAATCTTATATACAAAACCACTTCGAAGGTTCCTTCATCTATCCAAATTAATTTGGGGACCTTAAATTGCTATTGGAACTCTAACGGATCAAGGTCACAAAATAAGCAAAATCATTCTACCTACCTTAATAGCCATATCCTAATCTCATCACGTCCAAACATATCATATTGTCCATCCATGAAACCAACTCACCAAAACCCTAATTGTAACACTCCAACAAACCACCCGAATCAATTCACAACAAACAATCCTACCTACCCAAATCATAAAGAACCCTAAATACCTCTTAACCCCCTATTTTTATCCTACAGCTCCTTAAGAGGATCTCGTAGATCTCTCATGGTACCAGAAACTACACGTTGTAGTCTTGACAAAGTCGACGAGCTCTTAACTCAATTAAGGAAAAACTTCAGAAAATCTTTCTTTGTGAGGTAGCTGCTAGGGGTACTTTGAAATTGAATTTGCCATCTTTAGATTAAGTATAGATTCTAATTACGGTAAAATACCAAAATACCCCCTAATTAATCATCAACGACACAACTACCCCCTATATACCCTCTCACTAGTATACTAGCAAATTTACTAGTAAAGTAATGTTTAAGTTATTAGGGAGAGTTTGTCGCAAAGACTAAAGGGAAGTAATGTCACGAATCACGTGTTGGCATGTGATAAGCAAAGACCAGGCGGCGTCCTGACAGGTTAAGCACCAGCAACACACTCTTATAGCAAATAGGGATGCTTAGGCTAGCTAAGCGATCCAGGGATTTCATCTGATAGAAGTCATGTGACCGTCATTGATCATTGGTGATCAACTGAGCAACGCTGAGCTGGATCAGTGGGATCAGGGTGATCATAATGATCAACGAGCAAGAAGGTTCTATATAAGACTGGCACGTCTGCCATTAGATAGGAGCTTCGTGCTCAACTTAGTTATCAATCTTATCATATTAGTTTGACATCTTTGATACAAGTAACGAGTTCACTTCCAAGTGAACAACCCGATAGTCTTCCTCTTATCATAGCATACCAACCAGCGAACACCCAGCCAAGTTTAGTTAGCCAGTTTGAGTATTCGTTACAAGTAACTCGGACTAACTATTCAGGATTTTATTAGTATACTAGGTAATATAGACGAAGAACAATAAGCAAATTAGTAAAAGGAGAAGGAGGAGAACTCTTATTAAAAACGACCTCATTTAAAACACCTATTTCGTAAGAAGGAGAGCGCTCAGTAACAAGAAGACTAGGATAACGTAGTTAAGGCTCGGTGGCAAGGAATTGAGGATATTACTTAGGAACAAGTAATTGAGGCTAATAAACTAGGATTTAGACGTAAACGCAAGGGCAGGGAGTACTAGGCTTAACCACTACTAAAATCGACGAGACTTAGCTTACTAGGGATTAGGAAGTAGAAACTAGTTAACTAATTTACTTTGTTCATTATTTTTGGGTGCCTTGCCTATGAAATTCTATCATAAAGTAAAAAGCCTGACCCGAGCCACTTTTTACAACAAAACTACCCTAATGACTTGAACATTACTTTACTAGTAAATTTACTAGTAAACTGGTAAGGGGGTACATCGGGGGTATTTTAGTCTTTTACCGTTCTAATTAAGTTTGTATGCGAGGATGTATACAGACCTATCGTGTGCTAGGTTGTTCATGGAAGTGAGTAATACATACTGTAGCAAGAGCATCATTGATTAGATTCGAATCTATAACTGGTATACCAGCTCCTTGGGAATAGAGTGGTGAGTGATATTCCTTATTTGCTATGTAAAACAATGTAGTCAACTAGGAATGAAAGGATTAAGACATTGATGCTGGTTTGGAAAAATAGACTCTAGTCTTGTTATAAGCGAATGATAATGGGAAGATATGATATACATCAATATACTTATAACGGGCGACTGGAAAGATTAATCCATCGCTTTTATCATTTTGAGTTTTGAAATAGTAGTAAGCAGAGGAATGAAAAGTGAAACGAGGGTTTGTATAAGACAAGACATCAAGATCTATACACTCAACTTGTGAGCTCCAAACCACGTGCCTACATATCCAAAAATCCAAACAAAAAAAAGTCGCTTAATTCAAATTCCCCCCTCCCCCTAAAGCCTCCCCGTACTCCCCACCAACCCCCCATCAACAACAATCTCCGCGCCCGTAACATACCCCGCCTCCCAACTCACAAGATAAAGCACTGCCCCCGCAACATCCCACGCANCCCCGTACTCCCCACCAACCCCCCATCAACAACAATCTCCGCGCCCGTAACATACCCCGCCTCCCAACTCACAAGATAAAGCACTGCCCCCGCAACATCCCACGCACTCCCCATCCTCCCCATCGGAACCTGTCTCTCCCTAACCTTTCTATACCCCTCATAATCCTCTCCAGCATACTTCTCCGCCAGCGTTTTAACAAGCGGCGTATCCATCAAGCCCGGGACCACACAGTTCACCCGCACGCCCTTGGCGGCGTACATCACAGCCGTGGTGCGCGTGAAGGAGCGGATTGCGCCTTTGGCGGTGGAGTAGGCGACTTGGGGTTTGCCGATGTAGCGGAGGGCGGCGACGGAGGAGATGTTGACGATGCTGTGGTTGGGTTTCTTACCTGAGGGGTGGTTCGGGTTTTGGGATTGAGATCCCATGATGGGGAGGACGTGGTGGGTTGTTAGGTAGATGGATTTCAGATTTAGTTCGATTTGCTGATCCCACATTTCTTCACTTATGGTCTCCGGATCACCGGGTTCGCTGCGTCCAACGTTGTTGATGAGGATATCGATCCGTCCATGTTTTTCCATACAAGCATTAACAAATTTCTTTACGTCAGGAGAAGAAGTGACATCTATTTGCATCACGGTGATATCGGCATTGGGTGAATCGGATAGGATTCTGGTTTTTGCTTGCTGGGCTGCTTCAGAGGAGATATCGCAGCCGAAGATGGTGGCTCCTTGACGCGCGAACAGTGTTGCGATTGTGAGGCCGTTGCTCCATCCTTCTCCTATGCAGCCGATTCCTGTGATGAGGACGATTTGATCTGTGAGGTCATGCATTTTTCGGGATTTGGGTGGGGCTTCGATATTGGCCATTTTGTTCAGGTGTAAAGGGGAAGATGGTATTAATGATGAATCTCTTAGTCCTTGTTTTGAATGAAATTTGATGGAAGTATATGTCGTGGAAAATGATTTTATTGTTCCTCGAAATGTACCTACCCCATACATTGGAGGTGTGGGGTACCGCGAGGTTATTGGATAGTTCCACAGCTTGCGGCAATTGGCCCCCCATTTATGCGCCATAACCCAAACTCGAACGCCATCGCTATGTAAATACACAAATTGAAAGAAAATTGAAACCAACATCAAGGCATAGTCGTCATCAACATCTCCAACATGCCAATAGTAGTACACGCCTGTTGTGACCTTTCCACCTCGGTTCTCACCCTGCTGTGCAGCGATTTGAAGTTCTTTTCCAGTTCCGGGGAACCAGTAATGTGCTCAGAATACAGATCCAGTAATAACAATGCCGCATCGACGCAAACATTGACGTATCGAGGATCCTTGATATACTTGGAGACCCACTTCAAAATCGGCTGGACAGTGGTTTCATCTCTTCCTTCGAAAGCACTCTTCATCGCGCTTCTGTGTCGCAAAGCTGTTAGTACAGTAAGGACTGTGACGGAAGGCAAATTTTCTTCCAAAACATCGTCCAGGGCTCGTTGGTATTTCCCTTGTCTTAGGTGCGCCTCCCAAGGCCTTTCACTTTTCCTTTTTGGAGCTTTGCCCTCAATTATAACATCAGCACCTTCTCCTACAAAGTTCAGCCCTCTCAGTTTGGCTTCAACCCCACGACCCCGCGCCCTCTTTTTATTCTTCTTGTCGAATTCATCCACGGTCCCTGCAATGAGTGCTTGCATTTCCTTTTCGCGCTCACGAGCCTTGACCTTTTGCTCCCCAGAAAGTTTTGTTCGAATAGCCAGTACCCCAGAAGCCATCCCCACTACGAGATGTTTATCCTCGCGGTTTGCTCCCGTGCTAATGACATTTACGGATAATACTGGCGAAGGGTATTTTTTGCCGGCAACAACATTCCAACCAGAAGTTTCGAATATTTTGACATGTCCATCGAGTCCACCACTTACTAGTCTTGTGCCGTTGGATGCCAGACACATTGACGTGACTGTCTTTTGGTGATTCTTGATAATTTGTAGAGGTTTTCCAGCAACGAGATCCAGGACTGAAATTTGGTTGTCTGAAGCGGCGAGGACTGTGGTACCTGAAGGTATTGGGAGCACTTCCTCGACAGGCGCAGCGTGTTTGAATACCATTACCGCCTTGCTTGAAGTTCTCGAGTCCCAGAGTCTGACCGTGGAATCGTAACTTCCCGTTACAATCAAATTCGACATCGTACCTGGCATAAAAGAACCACTTCGCACATAATCGGAATGCCCCACGAAAGTTGTGGTACTATTTTGACTTGGCAGATCCCATAATCGCACAGTTTGATCATCACTGGCGCTCATCAACGTCGTCAATTCTGTCGGCGAGAATTTTGTAGTCCATACTGATTGCTTGTGCTCCTCCCAAGTTTTCAAAATGGCTCTCGAATTGATATCAAACACCTGTATCTTTCCTGCGTCGTCACCAGCTACCATAACCCGCCCATCTCGTCGAATCTCTCCGCTATGCGCAATGTCGGAAAATCGAGTGATGGTCTTGACAAGTTTTCGCGTTCGAATGGAGAAAAGCTGTATTCGCGTACCAGTTGTTACCGCAAAATGATCATTCGTAACCGGAAGAAGTGGATTGCTCGGTGGCGGAGGGAAAGAGATATGAGTGACTGAAGATGTCGAAGGCACATTTTGCGCCGACTTGAATGATTTCCAGTAAACTTGTTCCGGAGTCAAAGGCGCAGGCCCAGCGGGCAATTTCAACAGCGGAAGCTTGGTGACGGGAGCTGCCATGGTGTTGTTGAATTGCACGACGGCAGTGTTGGCTGTTCAACTTTTGGTATCGAAGCTATCGCGGAAACGATCTCAAAAAAAAAAGTTTGAAGCAGATATGGCGGGGGATATTTTTCCCGACGCATCGTGCCACGCTAAGCCTGATTGGGTTGGATACCCGCTTATACCTTCACTTTTGTTTTTCTTCACTCCATACAGACTTCATTATCACTTTTCTTGGGTTTGAATTTCTTCAAATTTTCATTCATTGACTTTATATCCCAAACCTCATCTATGCAGTCACGTTTCTCCACCTACCTTAGATACGTTCACTACAACAAGATTTAAATTGCAAGTGTGACACTTGATAACCTCATTTCTTCTTATATCTTTTCTTCATATTCCCTTAATATTCCCTTTACATACCTAATTACTTCGTTTCCGCATCGCAGATCTCTATACACCAATCGAGTCCAGATTTCAGGACTCATTTCCTTTCTCGTCCAGACTCCTAAAGTCGTTTAGAAGAGATTTGCCAATCCTAAAGAACCCTTCGAACTTGCTTAACCCCCTTCACATGACTGCGCGTAGATGAAAGGACCCAGACTCCCTCTTTTCACCCAAATCTCGAACAACTGATTCCTCCAGCTTCACCCAAAATACCGTAGAAATCTTACCATGCCAGAAGAAGCATCCTTACCCAAGCCATGATTTTCGGTATTTTAGAGGGGGCACAGAAAGGGAGTTTGAAGCACCGATTACCAAGTAAGATACCTGAGTATGGTAAATTTACACACAGAAAGCAAACCCATTCCATTATTTTGCCTTCAAAGATTCCCTCCCATATGGCACGGAGCCTGGTATTAATCCTTACAAATGCCCTTAAACATACAACTAGCTACCTAGTGCGACTGAGTCAAGTACGAACTCACTTCCCCGCCGCGAAAATAGCCTTGAAATCAGCATTGCTCTTCGTCTTCTTCTCCTCTGAGCCGCCGTTAACATCCCCTTTCTCTTTCTTCGCGCCATCCTTACTCGCCCTACTCGCAGCCACAAATCCCAATCCCCGCTTGGTACCCAACCCACCTCTCCCTGCAGCACCAGGTCGTCTGATTGGAGCACTGGGTTGCATAAAATAGGGCGCTTTAGCAGCAGCTTTCTTCGCTTCTTTGCCAACGAGGATCTTATCACTCCTCACCTCTCCCTTTTCAGAGAAGAGATCTTTCATTCCACCCGTCCTCAATTTCCTGCCAGGAGCAATCTCATGGTTCTCGAGGCCTAATGCTGCTCGGCCGGCAGCTGTGGCATCGACGAACTCGATAATAGCACCTTGGTGGTCGGGTCGTAGAACAAGTTTAACCAACTCGCCATATGGCTCAACAAGAGCTCGGACCCGAGCATCATTGACGGTATCGGGGATATTCATTAATGTGATTGTTCGATTCGTGATCTCCGTTCGGTCTGGAGCGTGCTGGGTGTGGGTATTTGGGTTGCTATCCGGTACTGGGGATCCCATGGCCGAGTCACCCTCTGCATCAGGGGCAGGAGACATAGAAGATCCCTTCGCTGTCGCTGTGGGTTTATAATTCTTACCCATCGACAGCTCGACGTTCAAGACTCTTGATTTCAACTTTGTTTTATCAAGTCCCAAGGCCGCTGTAGCTTCTTCCTTTTTTTCAAAGGAAATGAAACCTGCACCTTTGCTCTGTCCGCTGGCATTTTTCAAAATTCGCACCTTGTCGATATTTCCATATTTTCCAAAAGTCTCTTTCAGGTCTGCCTCCGTAAGTGCAAAATCAATACCTGTGATATGAAGTTCACGGCCTTCAGCCATAGCACCTTCACGATCCTTTTTATTTCCAGGATCAGAGTGCTTTGCAAGCAACTTGTACACGCCACCTAGTGATTGACCATCAAGTTTGGTGGCCGCAGCCGCAGCTTGCTGAGTACGAAAGGAGACATAGCAAAAGCGCCGCGTAGTGTTGTATTTGAGACTTGGCCAACGAAAGCTAAATACCTCTCCACAGTCTTTGAAAAGTTTCTTGAGGTATGCATCGTCGGCAGTTGGAGGGAAATTGGTGACATAAAGAGTCAGTCCAGTAGCCGCCTCGACTTTGATCTGTCTATCCACAAAGTATTTTCCATCTCGTAGTAGAGCAGATTGTACATCTTGGGGGGAACGGAACTCGATCAGTGCTGTCGCAGTAACCTCATCTTGCTCCTTTTTCATGGTGATGCTATTGATGTGTCCATATTCCTTGAAGTATTGGCGAACTTTGGTCTGAGTAGCTTCTGCTGGAAGGTTGGTAACGAGAACAGTCGTATTTTCGCGATCCCGCTTCAAGTACTGCTCTCGCAAGGCATCTTGATCCGCAGCATTTTTTGCCTTCTTGGAAGTATTTTCATCAGCATCTTCAGGCTCATCATCCCGTTTCCTTTTTGATCCAGGCGCCGACTCTTGGGCTTCGGTGGCTGTAGGAACCTCCGGCTGGGCTTGAGCGTACAAGGCAGCTGCCTCGGCAGCTTCTTTCTGTCGCCTTTTGGCAACATTCTTCGAGATCTTCCGAACAGCACTCATTGCTTTCAGAAGCGCGTCCACGTCCTCATTGTTATTACAATGGCGCAGGTAAATTTCCATCATTTTTTCAGGCCAGTCCAGACCGTGTCTATAGACGGCCTGGCTCAAGACCGAAGTAGCGAGGGTTGGTGGTTCGTTCGCACCTCGAACTGTCATCTCCCAAAGGTAATACTGTTGCCAAAACTCGTAACTGTCACCACGAGTATGAACAAGTCGTCGCCAGTATCCTCGTGCTTCTTCCAAGCTTGTCGCCGTTCCCTTCTGTGTCAGATACTGAATGAACAATCTTTCCATTCTGAACATTGGGTCTCCTTTCCAGTTTTCTTGGCCATGTCGTCTCTGACCCCATTCTTCTACGCTCTCAATTGCGGTTGGTAGGCCCATATCGGCAATATCTACGTCTTCATCGGTTGCTTTTGGAGAAGTAGCTCTTCTTTTGAGAAAGCTACCCCAGGCAACATAAAACTCGACTACCCCACCCATTCCATCTCGATCGAAATCGCCTGTACTAGTTGCAGCGTGTTTGATCTGTTCCATAGTTGAGAAGGGTAAGTTGTCAGCCTCTGCGCAAAGGATATATCGAGCCCATAATGTTCCAGACCACGGACAATGTGCCGTTGCTCTTGGAATCACGGAAAGGATCTCGGGCAATGAACCTTGGGGGAGATCTTTCTTCGACCCAGAAAGAAATGTTATGTAGTCTTCCCAAATTTCCGGATCCAAACCAAGGCTGGTAGAGCATAATGTTCGTTCGAACAATGCGACGCAGAGAATCATTGGGCTTTGAGGCTGTCCCTTCTTTGGTCTTCTCATTGCTTGTGCGACCTCCCACTCCAGGTATTCCTTAGAGACGGATATCACAGCGTCTTTATCACCCAAATCTCTCGCTTTTCCAAGCTTCAACTCGTGCACCTCTCGTAAACTGTATAGATCCTTTGCTGATTTCGCGACCTTCGTAACTTGTACCATAGTAGCCTCCCATGTCGCTTCGTCGTATTTCGTGATAAAGGTCGAGAACATCTGCGAAGTCTCGTCCCAAGTCGCATGGGGTGTCTGCAGGCGACTGAGGAAGAAGTTCTTCACGCGCTCAATCTTCTCTCTGCTTTGAGCAGCAGATAACTGTTCCAACTCGATCGAGATCCATCGGTTCCAGAGCTCGTGGCTATCGTTCAGTCGGTATTGCGTAGACTGAGCACCTTGTTGCCAAACATCCAGCGCCGTGTCAACGGAAAACAACTCCTGTCCTAGCATCTGCTCTTCTTCCGGCCATCCTGCATCGCCATTCTGACAGTCTGTATAGAGCGACCAAACCCATTCGCAGTATGCCAACCATAACTTATTCGACCATGGTTCCGCCACAATCGCCCGTTTGTAAAGCTCTACCACTTCCACCCGGGTGTCCAAATCTCCTGCGAGGCGACTAGCTTCGTCAACCAAAGCCAGCCATGCATCCTCTCCTATTGGATCAGCCATATTTGCGACGGTTCAATGTTGGTTGGTGAAGGTCGTCAATGCGCGAACCAAAGAGTATGACGATGGGAACGAGCAACCATCTCAATTTTGAGAAGCAGGGAAGAAATTCATTCACAAGTCAAATTACTTGAATGTTGTGAGATGTAATCATTGTCATGGGAAAGATGTTGACTTGCGACAACCTGCGAGCTTTCATGGAACCAGAATTCTCAGCCTTGTCACGTGACGTATAATTATTGTGAGGGAACCTATCATCGCGACCTTGACAATGAAATACATGCAAGCAGATCAACATACTCAGCCGCAATGAGTCTACATCTTCCTATACGGTGTGCTGTCAACTCGGGTATAGCTTCAATACTATATGTACAAAAGACTAAAGGCTAATAGAGTACAGTATCTGCCCTAACAAACTCACAACCCTCAATCAACTTCCTCGTCCCTCGATCACAACGACGAACACTCTTCGGTTGGAAAGGCTGGGGTAAGGGCACGAAGGAGAAGGCAGATCCTATATCCCGCCTCGAGAATCCTCTTGAGAAACTAGGACCCAAATATCTCAAAGACACCATATTAAAAGATGCACACAAACCAAAAGCAGGGCTCTCAAATTCCGTCTTCGGCGACGACAGCGCAGAAGGAGATTATGTCCCACCAAAAGAAGGCTTGCAGCGACACATAGCCCGCCAAGCACTGGATCCAGATCCAAATTCGAGAATTCGATGGGAGACGAGGATGGTTCAGAGGGAGGTACTTAAGAGGGGTCGTTTGACGAGGAAGCAAGAATTGAGACGGCAGGAGCGAGAGCAGATCTCTAAATCTCAACCCTTTCAGACTTCAGTGAAAAAGCTTGTTCCACTTGCGAAGCAGATTACTGGAAAGACTGTCGAGGACGCCATTATTCAGATGAGATTCTCGGTCAAGAAGGCGGCGAAAGATGTCAAGGAACACTTGGAACATGCAAAAAACGAGGCTATTACACGCCGCGTCATGGGACTGGGTGCTGTACAGGGTGTCAAGATCACACCGATGTTTATTCAGACCAAGGATAAGAGATCTGTTCGTGTGGATGATCCTACGAGAATGTATATTGAGCAAGCTTGGGTTGGAAGAAGCGCATACGGGAAAACGCCGGATTCAAGGGCACGAGGGAGAGTTTACATGATGAAGAATCCCACAACAAGTACGTTTCCCCATTTTGCAGTTTTTTCATGCACGGAAAGAAGCTAACATGGATACTACAGTGTTGACCGTGGTCTTGAAGGAAGAGAAAACCCGAATTCGCCAGCATGAAGAAAGACAGGAGAAAATTCGAAATCGTAAGGTCTGGCATCAATTGCCAAACAGACCTATCACAGCTCAGAGACAACATTACTCATGGTAGTTGGCCGGGTATAATGGTTTATTTGTAAAACTACTTTGTATTTACACTAGAGGTCATGTAGAATTGACATAGTTCGCCTCTTGCAAACTCGATCGAATGCCCATCTGAGCCAACACGGCTGATTGACAACTTGGAAGTCTTTAATATGCAAGTCTTTCAGTTCATAATGCCACTGGAGAGCCTCAACCATTGATTAAAGGTGGAAGCTACCACTAGTGTAAAGAAACAGTTTCGCTAAGCCTCTTCATACAATTTTGCCTTAGCGCAACCTCATCTTGGACATTTTACAGATATCTGTGTCTATGTCTGTACCTGCGCTTACCTCGGCTTGGGATCTTGCATCTTCATAGAATAAGAGGGCATCCATGCGGCAGACGCGGACTCAGACTCAGGCTCATTCCTCCCACTCACTCACTCACTCGCTTGAATCCACCTTTGCCAAAAACATCCAAAACCTCTACGGTCGCCCTCCTGCTCCCCCTTTCGAAAAAAGAAGAGGAAAAGGCAAGAACTAAAGAGGGAAGAGAAGCTAAAAACAGTAAGATAAAACGGCAAAAGAACCTGCCGAGTTCCTGCGTATGATGACTGGAGCAAGGCGCCGGGTTGAACACAGCCCAGGTTACCTGTGTTTTTTATGGCTGGCCAACAATCTGGTGAGTTACTTCAGAGCCGCTCGTTGTTCGGTGATGGGGGGTGCTTTTTGGTGGATATTTTGAGTAGATTGTGTTTGGAGATTGGTAGATGGGGATTTAAAGGGGTTCACGTGGAATATATGTTACCTACCTAGGCTCCCGGTGGACAAGAAAACTGGTAGACCTCTTTTATCCTATCCTGATTTTACTAAAAACCATTATAATATATCATTTATTTGGAATAATTATAATGATTTATCGAAAAAGGTAGCACAAGGAAGGCTACCTACCTATTATTCTAGATATTTTCAACATTTTAGTATTAAGAATTAACTTACGCGAATAGTTGAAAAATGAATCTCTGCCACTTTTCTTGTCCACCGGGAGCTAGGGTGAGACCTGATATTTGCTTGTGTACCTATGAGATATGATGTCGCGGGAGGTAGTAGTTTTGTAAATATTTCTGCATTTCAATGGTGCTAGTACCATTTTTGATATACGAGACCTTTAGAATAATATTCTTTCTAACCTAGGTGTGTCCAGAGTTTTGCCAAACTGTCTTGCTGGACTATGGGCTCAAGATATACTCGCTTGAACGTTAGCAAGAGCCTACAGCGGCAAGAACGATTCTCTCGCAGTAAAAACTGCTCTGACTTACGACTTTGTTTACGACCTTGAGGTTTATGTTAGTACCATGTAGGTTTTCTTCAGCCGAGCCGGGAAACAAATTATTAGCCCCTATTTGTCAAGCGAAAAGAACAAATCTTTGTTGTAACAATATGATATAAACTTTGTATCAATTTAGTATGTTAGTCAATCATTGCCGTAAATTCAGCTGTTAATAAAAGCCTGTAAGGTACCTATACCCATTGTAGCCATCGCCATCATATAGCTCGCCATGGAAAAAGCATCTTGAATACTATGCTCGTACACAGTATATAGAATAGCAATCAGCAGACTCCCAATTTCGAAAAGGAAGAACACGGAGCCAAAAACCTTCCTCATATTCCAGCCTTCCACAAATTGTAACCCCCATCCTGCATTAGTCCCTCCGCCTCGACACAATAGCTTCTCATGCAATTTCTTTGGGAACCGGTCCAGGCAGAATGATACATTTTCACCTTCCTCAGGGTGCTCAAACAAATGCATAAAACAGTTTTCGCCCACGGGAGGTATCAACTCTGGTGGTGCGGGTTGATAATGATATTCTGTGTGATCAGGAGGAGGTATGTCGTCTTGTTTCCGTAGGTTGACGAGTTCCTTCCCAAACAGTTCGAATGAGACAAATTTGATACTTTGAAGATTGCGGAGCGACAATCGAGAGATAATCTTTCCCCTCATGTCATGGTAAATGGATCGAAGAAGTCTGAAGAGAGATTTATCGCATTCGGCTCCTTTACTTGTGAGGTCAATCTGTAGCAGGCATGTGGCGTAGCGCCCTTCATTATAGCAGAGGAGTAAATATAACAAAGCGATAGGGGGACTAGGTTGCTGATTTGATGTACCCACGTTGCCGGTGTTTGGAGAAGTGTGACCTCTTTCATGCAGTGGAAGAGTTAAGCCGGGATTCTGCTTTGCCGGGCTCATAATTGGCCGTATGGTTGCAGACATCCATGAAAATATACCTACAGTGCTATTTGTCCTTGAAGAGCTGGAACTTGGCTGGGTATTTTGAATTGTTTTCTGGCGTCGAAACCTTTCAGCAGCGCCGGGGCTCATTTCAATAAAATCATCGTAAAGCAAATGTCCACATTTCTACTATCTGTTAGTGACTGTCAATTCCGAGGAAGGAGAGCCTTACGCAACGCCATTCTATTCTCTTTTTACCAGGTTCAAAAGGTGGTCTTGCAAGCTTTAACTTGAGGGAGATCGTTTGCGAGCCCTCGGATAGAAAGTCCTGGAGACATTGAAAGGGGAAGTTGAGAGAAGCAACTCCCCATGTCCAGACAGTAGTTTCGACCGTAAAATGAGCTAATATTCGCCACACTGAAACTCCCTTGTTGACCACTGTGTGATACTTCTCGATATAAAACCCCTTTCGCACTTCTTTTAACGAAAGATCAACCTCCTTCAACTCTGCTTCATCCTGTGTCGTATTTGGGTTCGGATCGGCAGCAAAAGGTGGTCTCTTATGATTGGAGGCTACTTCGGGAGCGTTTTGTTCCACAAAATCTCTCAAATCGTTTCGCAAGGCATCGATTGCTCGCGATTCTCTGATGAAATCGTCCAGATATTGGAGCGTATCAAAAGTCTCTGAATCATCTGAGTGGCTGTCTTCCGTAAATTCTTCAGCCTGTCCGCCCTCTTCCTCTACGAAAAGCTTCTTAGCCTCACGAGATTGTTTGAGTTGATTGCAAATCAGATGCGCAGAATTTGTTGCTCTGTGTAATACGAAGCGAGCGGTATTACGCTGATCCTCGGACTCTGCTTCTCGGCGCAGACTTATAGCAAAGTTCTTCAGTAATTTCTTTAAGTTTCTCTCGAACCGTTCTCGAACGATACTTTCGAGTGCTTTCGAGCACAGTGAATGAATGATTGCATCGTTAAGAAGTAATGAAACCAATCGTTCTATCAAGTTTTCTGGGGTTTGCGGGATTGATGAAGCATCAGAGGTAGCGATCGCAGATGCCTGTGAGAAAATACTCTGCGTTGAATAAAGTAACATGGTACTACGTGCGCTCCTCCTCCACAAATTACTCATATTGTTCTCCGTAGCCATAGGACGGTTTGAGTAAGGGGGAATATCACCAGCTGCATATAAACCGTTTGCTCTGTCGTGAATCTTCTCCTTTGGACTAGTAGAGATATTTTCAAGGTCAGAAGTAACTACACTATCGTGCTTCTTGATTCGTTTGTGTGCCTGTCGATACATGAGTGTCTTATCTCCCGTCAGGGATAGTAGAGATAGAACTGGATATTGCTTATGATGACTTACGAGTAAGCTGTCAGGACGGGTGTAACTGTTGCCACACTTAGGAAAATCGCATTTAAACATCTCAGACGCTGCGAAGTTGTTTAAAGGCTCTAGAGTATTATCGGGGGCATATATGCTGCTTCTGTCGTCATAATTCATGTCCTTACTATCAAGTTCCACAAGACCTGTCATATGCCCCTGACTCCCTTTGTGGACCTGCCAGTCTTTTAGTATATCCCTTTTCGACAATTCAATAGACGAGGATCTGTTTATATTAACTCACGAGCAAATTATCTAGACCGGCATAACTCTTGCTACATTGAGGGAATTCGCATTTGAACCATTTAGTCGGACGCAGCAGGTAAAAAGCCTCTGGACAAGACTCTTGATGGCGTTCGATAGATCGCAAAATTCCAGGGAACTCCTTCCCACAGTAACATGTGTACCGAGATCCACGCCATTGACCACGTCCATTTCTCAAGTGCCTACCATGCAATTCAATTGGTGGAGGATCAATACTGTAAATGTCAAATTGGTCGGAGGATTGAGGTATTTGAACTGGTCGCCCAGCCTCTCTTTCCTCTATATCCGACTGTTGAATGGACGTACTGGTCTCTGGTTTGAAATTGGGTGGCGTCCGAGATCCTGAAGCAGATGACAGTGCCCAAATTTCGGTCGTAGGTATTGTCGAACGAGCTACTACCGAATTGATTGAAGATGCATAACTGGGTGGAGGACCAGTTGAGAGTTGTCGTGCTAGCTTAGGAGCATCTTCCCCGTAATTTTGGTGACGATTGGAGGCCGAAATGAAAGACATCCTGCTCGGTTTTCCCAAAGCAGAGACAGATAACATGCTATGAATATCGTCTGTCTCAATCTCAGTTTCCGGTACCCGTCGTTCATTTGGAGGCTGCCATTCTCCATTCGAGAACATCTCCGCAAAAGAAAATACAATAGTTGGTGGCCACAATGGTTGATTTCTGTAGTCTGAGCCACCCAAAGACTGGCCAGCCAATATGTCACGGCTCTCCGCCACGAGAACAGAAATGCGAATGAAATGCAAGCAAAGGTCTCGGAGTGAAGTCGGCGCCACAAGGAAAGGAAATTGCGATGAGAAATAGAAAGAAAAATGATGAATTTTGCAAGGCTCGGGACTCCTGAAATGGGGAGATGCCTTCATGGGGCCGGGACTCGCATGCTCTAAATGAGGCTGCTGACATGGTATTTTTTGGCTGATGCAAAGTGGTGATCGGAGGTTGCACAAATCGATCCATGACAAAAGATGAAGCGGCAGCCAATTGAGCTGCAAAAACTGTCGTGTGCCTAACTCAGCCATGACAACTGGTATACAGCATCGCTACTCGGACATCAAAGTATCATGCATCAACCGTTGACAAAAGGTGATAAGACCTCGAACATTTGCCACAAAAACATCCTCGACCCTTTCATAACTTATCAGCCTGAACCTCCAGATCCGGGATAGTCATTGGGTCTATAGCTTAACAGCAAATGGCGAAGGCGCGATTCGAAGGTATCGTTATATGAATTGTGCGTAAAGTATTGTTGAGATACTGGCTATTCATCATCTTCCCCACGAAGATTAGCTTATTTAGCAGCACCGGGCAGTAGCCTTCTCGGCTAATGAATAGCAAGCTCCTACCCACTTTTATATACTCGTAGTAATAACTAGAAGAATCGGTGGAATGTATGAATCAGAGGCTTGAACCGAGTGAAATTTCATGAACAGTTCATATATTTGAAATATATAGACAGGTGATAGTATAGAGATTTAGAAGGGTGAAACGTGACGCAGGTCACCACCCAGTAGAAATCCTTCAAACCAGCCGTACGATAGTTGTGCTGTACACCTAAGCCCTAACTAGGAGAACTTTCATCAACTTTCGTTCACCATGCTCTCCATACAATTGGGGCGTTGCTCCTGCATGAAGGCTGAGCCTGAGACCGGAAATTCGGCGCGTTTAGATTGGATCAAAGAAGCAGTCCTGGTGGAAGCGACAACAGTTTGCGCGAAGACCTTCCGGGTGTGTATCAAATCCAAAACAGCGAATCTAGTAGTATATTAGAATGACGAACCATAAACACAAACCAATAAAAGAAAACAATCATATTACAGGCTGCGAAAAATACTGTAGAAGCTTACCTGGCGCCTGATGCAATATCTGCAAACAATACCAGTTTTTTCTCCGTTCTGATTAGCAATTAATAGCTCTATCTCTTTGCGTTTCTCATTTTCTCGGATTTCGTGACCATTCAGTTGCTCTCGATAGTCAAGCATTATCTCAATTCTGCCCTCTATTGGCTGTCGTAAGGGATCATGATCCTTCATAAAATCAGCATCCCTTCAAAATAACATTGAAGAAGGCCAACACATACCGGTACAGAGTGTATAGTAGCTGCCTCCTGTTCTGTTCGCGAAAACACTGGTACAATCTGATGGGGGTTCACGACGTGCCCCGATACGGTTCTATGAAGTTCGCCGCCTTTGTCTGAAAGCTCGCAACTACTACCAGTTGTCGATTCTCCAAATTGAGAGGACGAATTCTCCAATACGTGCTGAGCAAATGCGGAAGCTGCATGGATCGGTGCTGAATCTGGTTTCTCATGCTTGGGTTTCTGGCTGGGTGTTTTGATCACAGCGCTTTCAACTGCTAGAAAGCAAGCCATTAATTGAGGAAGGTCACCGAATTGAAGAATCTTTTCTTACCATCTAATAAGGTCTCGCGGTCTTGTCTGAAGGCATCATCCCTTGGATCAGATGTCATTTTCTGATAATTTTGGCTCTGTTCGTAGGCACTGTTATATGAGGACCTCTCGATGAGGAACGAAGACAAGTATAGGCTCCTCAGTCCAAATGCGCACGACAGGCAACGTGTGAATGAATCAAATGATGGCTAGGAAATCTTTCAAGGCTCTCTCCTTCAACAGAGTAGAGAGTGAAAAGCCAATATAAATTGCGAAACTGGGGCAGAGGAGCCTGTATGTGGTGAGTTCATGTAACGGTGTAGCATCTATACTTGATGTTGTAATAGGCTACAGCCAGTGATCGGCAAATGGAACGTATTTTATAACACACGTGATATCACGGATGCAGGCAGCAGAGATTCTTTTTTTTAAGTATTAGCGTAAGTTACTTCAAAGTACTAAAATAATTAAAATATTTGGAACAATCGCTTTATTGTTCTATTGCTTTAGGTTAATCGGTTTAATTATTCCAAATAATGGATATAATATAATACATTCTAGTTTTTAGTTAGTTAAGATAGAAAGAGTCTCTACTAATACTAAAGCTAAATAGAATATTCTATTAACAGGTAGTATATGTTTACAGAGTAAGCAATAGAACATTCCATTTTATATCCTAGCTAGAAATTCCGACAGTTCTATAGACTAAAGGGGTCTAGAATAGAATCCTTCTAGAGGGGGGTGTCTGAAATGGAATAGAATTCCAGTTGTCGAAGGCTAGTAAGGTCTCTAACAATACGTCAATTCTCTATTTTGGTTAAAGGGCATCTTACTCGTCGTTCTGGCACCGTAGTACTAATAAATTCTTACTTTTAGAATGATTCAAACTTCAAATGTTCGAATCATTCTTTTTGAGTAGCAGAATTTCAATCAGTCAGAAGCTTTCTTATATACTAGAAACAGAAAATTTAAAACCTAGTTACAAAAGAAGTGGTTCACCTTTAATTTGATATCGGAGGAGCTATTTGATCACTACCTCATGAAATTGAAAATATGTGATTGACTAATAGATGACACAAGGGGTCAAAGGATACAATCAAATCTGGTTATATGAGAGGAGACCCGAAAAGAATAGATATAGTTTCAGGGGCCTAGAGTACTAGCTAAAAACTTACTCTCGTCTTATTTGATCAAGTTGACTTCCGTTAGTACAGACAAAAGATCTAAGGTTGCCACTTGAAGTCTTTGATACATAACATGCAATGACTAACTTTGCACGACAGGGAATTGCACTCTCTTGCCAGGGAGTTACCTTCCTCCTTGTGGTTTTCATTCGCGGACTATGCTTCTGCTAAGTTTGCAACAATACTTTCAACTGTCACTTTATATATCTGAACCAGAATGGTGAAGTGACATATCTTGTAATGGAGGAATTTCGGTAGAAGGTCGGAGCTTTCAAGGGCACTTAGAGGTAGTCAACCCATGAAGGTAGGCCTATGGTTAACATGATATTCTAGTGAATTGAATGGCATAGCTAGACTATCTTCTTATTAAGATGAAGTTCCGAACGGTTGTCGTGGTTTGCGTAATAATTTCAAGTCTGCTTACGGGAAATTAATAGACTAGGTGTTGCCTCTATGTATACTTAATAGAAAACCAATGTGATTTCAATTCTCGTATATAATAATATTAGTTAACCCTTTTTGACGCTCAGGTAATAACTAAGCTTTCTAACTATAAAAAAATAAGCTCTTAAGCGAGCCTAGCCTAACTATATAATAGTCGGCCCGAGATCGGGAAAACTTTACAATACTTCGTTATCTTAAAAGGGGTACTATCTCCGCTCGGTAGCGTATATATAATAAGAACTAACGTAAAAGAATTATAAAGTATAGATAATATTAGGCTAGCGAAACTTAAAGCGTATAAAATAGTAAAGCGCGTATAATAAAGCGCGCGTAGTAACCCCGACGGGAGAGTACTTTCCGACTCGAGCGCGAAGTAGTATATAATATCCTCGCGTAGCCCGGGTACTTCTCGGCTATACGCGAGGTCTTCTAATAGCACGTATATCTAACTATAATACCTAGCGCCGATAGCTAAATTAAATCCTTAACTCTTAAGTACCTATATAATCCTGTAAGTAGTATTATACTACTTAGAATATAAGATAATATTTTAGTATAAAATAAGTAAATATATTTACAAAAAAAAGGTTTAAATAAACCTTTTAATTAAATATTATTTTATATTCTAATCCCTATAGTATTCGTAGTACCCGTATAACTAAGTTATTTAAACTATAATACAAGCTTCTATAGAGACTATACCTAGCCTACCACGTTTCTATATAGATAGTTACTTAAGATTATGTTTAACGTATCACGTGACCTCACTTGATTGCTCGCTTGCCTTATGTTAGAACATTAGAAAGTACATTTCTTCACGGTTGAAGAAAGCGCAATAGTAGTAATTAGTCTAGTTCCTTCTCATAATACCTATCCTAGCACGAGTCTTGCATTGTGCCATGTCACGTTTATCTCGCCTCGCGGAAAGTAATTTTCATCTTCTCTGAACCGCCAGCATTCAAAGCTTCGACAAAGTTTTCACAGATTCAATCCCTATTATCAAGGTTGGAGCACCGCAATTCTCGCCTATCGTTCGTGTTTCATTTCTGCAATGAACTATGGTCACCCTCTACACTAACAATCCGGCCTTTCCCTTTTCCAAAGCAATGGAGAGGTTCGTCAATATCCCCGACATTTTAGTCGGGATTGCTCACGGCTCCCTCAATTTCAAATCCTTCAGATATAATTTCACTATCGTTCCAACATCCCTCGAAGGATGAGTCCAAAGTTTATATCTTCTCGATGCCGCTGCCAAGGATACTAAGCATAAGCATCGATTGCTGCACGGTGGCGTCAACGAATATCCCCACCTTGAGCATGAGGGTCACTATGGAGTATTTGGCATACCAAAACATCTGGGCCGGGATGATTGAAGCATAATTGTTTTTATTCTTTTGAGCATCTTACAATCGAAAATGTCATTTAAGATGGGATATTCAAATTTCAGAGTGGGCAGAAAAGTTTCTTATTAAAACCATCCAATTGCATGTCAGAAGGACAGGCAAGCTTTCAAATTTGCACCGAAAATTTCTTCTGCATCCAATTTCCCACCCACTCTTTAATATCCAAGTTCTGTCTGTTACGATTCGTTGTCATATCAACACTACTAATGCAAAAATCTGGAGTTATCTCGTTTTAGTTCAGTTCTTTTATATACCCGGTTCGGCTTCCAAGCCCCACCGCGCAGCCCCTCTTCCCGCCCCCCTGAGTTGCCTTATCGGACCCAGGAATTCGGCCAGTCATCTTTCACACCATATCCTCCAACGCCGCATCCAGGTGTGGGCAGAGCTTATCTACATACATCTTCACGTTCATATGTACAAGGTAGGTGGAGATAGCTGTGACATAAAAAAACCGGCAAAGGTAACACATCAAATGCTTTATCGGCTCTTGAGGTGGTAGAACAAGCTACGTCTCCATTGCAAGCCTGCTACACCAAATGAAAGCTTAAGAATAGCTACATGAAGTCCGATTACACTTATTGGTTCACCACGCCGCTCAAAACTTTTTACAGGATCAATTGATATAGTATCCAGGGATTGATAGGTCAATTGAGTTCTGCGACGACCTCAAGAGTGGCTATCTTCCAGAAATAAAAACAACCCTTTCCCCAGATTTACGAGCCCCCGCCCCCACGCAGCCCTACGAAATTTCTCTTCTTGCAGCTTTGATTCTGCTTTCTGAAAGTCTTTTCAATTGAATTCTAAATTGTTTCTGATAGGGTCCAAAAGAAGGATACGAGCATTTCAGACCTACTCTAGTTCGCTAAGATGGCCCCTCATACAAGCCATGGCGACGAAGGCCATCCAAACGTCAGCACAACGAGCTCAGTCACACGCGATGAGAAGATCATGAAGGCGAAAGATATCCTAGGTGTTGAAGAGGGCACGACGGCGATGATCAACGCTGATGACGAATTGCTCGCTTCTTTGGGATATCGAGCAGAACTAAAGCGAGAATTCTCATATTTTACGGTCTTCGGACAGAGTTTTGGAGCCATGGGAATTGCACCAGCCATTTCAGAGTCAATTGTGTTCTCGCTGGGAAGCGGCGGAAGTGTCGGAATGGTGTGGACATATTTAATAGGATGTCTGCTATTAATTCCAGTGGCTATGAGTTTGGGAGAACTTGGTAGTAGCATGCCCACTTCTGGTGGTTTATACTATGTATGTATCCTACAATCACCACTTTGGGGACAGAACTAATATATCTTAGTGGGTAGCACGCCTTACACCAAAAAGGCAACGAGCTTTTATGTGCTGGCTTGCTGGCTACATGAATGTTCTGGGATATATTTCCATTTACGCTTCAACGATATATGCCGCAACCCTTATACTGGGAGCAACCTGCAGTATTGGGTCAGATGGAATATTTACCGCAACTAAATATCACAACTACGGCATGTTCGTCGCAACTATCTGTCTGACATTCGCCATGACATGCGTCTCTTCCAATCTTCTCAACAAACTGAACTTCACCTATATCATTGTTCAGTTAGTAATGCTACTTGCCCTCATTATAGCTCTTGCAGCAGGTACTCCAAAGGAACTCAAAAACAACGCATCCTTTGTCTTCACGGATTTCGAAAATACTGGTTTCTGGACAAATAATGGTTGGGCATTTATGATATCTATGCTTACTCCAGTATGGGTTGTTTCTGGCTTTGAATCTTCGGCTACGATCGCGGAAGAAGCTTCAAATGCTGCTAAAGCAGTACCATTTGCCATGGTTAGCTCTCTTGTTGTGGCCACCGTGACGGGTTGGGCGGTCATAATTACCATTGCTTTCTGCATGGGATCAGATGTTGTCAGTCTAGTGGAAAGCAGTTACGGCCAACCAATGGCACAAATTGCATTCAATAGTCTAGGCAAAAACGGCAGTATCGCTCTATTGGTTTTCCTATGGTTTAGCAGCATCTGTAACTGCTCTATTCTGATGGTAGCCGCAAGCCGAGAAACTTTTGCTTTCGCCAGAGGTAAGTCTTTCTGTCTTACAGTTCAAATTTGAAGACATACTAATCTTAAAACATAGATCACGGCCTTCCTTTCTCAGGATTTCTCCGCGTTCTCTCCTCCAACAAAACTCCCGCACGCGCAGTCGGCTTCTGCGCCTTCATCTCCCTCCTTGAAGGCCTCCTCATGCTCGTCAACACCATAGCAATAAACTCCATCTTCAACATCGCAATAATGGGTCTCTACTTCGCATACTGCATGCCTCTCATCGCACGTCTCTGCTTCCAACATTTTACCCCAGGCGTGTGGTACATGGGCGATACTCTCTCCTATATCTCGGCTATATATTCTGTCGCGTGGATGACATTTATTTTCGTCTTGTTGCTTTTTCCTTCGTATGAGAAGGTGGGGCCTAATGAGATGAATTATGCGGTTGCTGTCCTGGGCTTTGTGTTGGTTTTTTGTGTGGGATATTATTATGTACCCGGGTTTGGGGGGAAGACATTTTTTACGGGGCCGATTAGGACTATTGATGAGGTCCTGGGGAGTGAAGAAGTGGAGAGAGCGGTGGAGAGGGAGGTTGTTACTGAGAAGGAGAAGGAGATTATTTGAGAGGTCTGATATGTATATGTTTTCTTCTCTCTTTTGGTATAGCCTATTGGTAGTTGTTGGACTGACTGACCAAAGTCATGTCATACAAGAGCTATAGTGTTAAATCAAATATGATTCTCCTGAAGAGGTGTCGGCTGTGACTAAATAAATAGTAAGAGCTCGAGACTCCCTCCTTGTGGACAGGAAAAGTCGCAGAAACCTCTTTTATCCTAGCCTAACTTAACTAAAAACTATTTTATTATATTCTTCATCTAGACCAATCAATATAATAAATCTAAAATACGAGTAATAGAACAATAAAGGTTATTATTCTAGATTTCTCAAATCTTTGAATACTTAAAACTAACTTACGCTAATAGTCAAAAGATGAAACTCTCTCCCACTTAAACACTTTTTTTGTCCTCTAGGAGCTACTTACCTGGTTCTCAAATATCACGTGCTTACACCTCGTTTGGTCAAAAATGCTACCATTAGAATAGGCAGTAGCATATTATAGGTATACAAGAAATTACAGTAGACGATAAACATCCAATCCCACAACAATTCTGTAAACACCAATTTCCGCCTATCAAAGAAAAGATAAGTACTGTAAGTTCTACATAGCAACAACGAAATAAAGCCGAGGCCTAAGGGCTCCTGGGCTCAAAGTAAACAAAATTTTATATCGCTACTTCATGAGAGCTTTTCTTAGAATTCATTCATCCCGCGCTTTCTTATGTGCTAATTCACACATCTGAAAAACATTGCCAAGATCTGACATACGAAAAGCAGTTTTGCAATCTCAGCAGATCAGTTTCCACTTATTGAAGAAATGAATCGTAGCAATATAAATAAGCTCTCCAACCACCTATGGACATACAGGGACTTTAATGCCGCTAGCTGGGGTATCACATCCCACGCTTAAAATTCCGTAAAAGACGAAGATGATTTCCAAGACGTCTACATTCATTTATTTATATCCCAAGCTTTCTCCTAGCAGTTACTTCAAACTCTTTGCCACTCCCTGAGCTATAAAAAGCCACCCGAAACACATATAATAAATTCAGAAATTCCAATCAATATACAATTCCTAGTCACATAATACAAATCCCCACAATCCAAGTGACAGGACTAGTAGACTACTTCCATCTGCGAAAACATCTCCGTCACCAAAACTTAGCTGTACTCGTACACCTGACCCAATCACTCAACATCCATGCTTACTAAGCGCCCCTTCGCGAGCTGAAAATAGGAAGAAAGCGTATGTCCTGGATAAAATGATAGAGGACTTAGTTCGTCTAGCTTTCAAACCTGGCCTATTGTTTTTCTACCACCTGTGGTACAGTAGTGTGGATCTTGACGGTAAGCGAGGTATATCACAGCGTGAAGATGAAAACGATACATATCCAACCATTTAGTGGGAGCCTTGTAGTAAGGGAGATGTTTGTACCAAGTATCCAGATCAGAAAGTGCTTGGTCTGGACTGGTTAATATAAGCGAGAGTTGAAAATTGGGAAGTGTATTACTGCATTTACACGTAGATATCGCATGTCTCTTTTGGGGACTTTTATAAGGCCTGTATGAAAGGTGATACAATCGTTGAATTGAACGTGGGTAATATTAGCATGGCCTTGAGAACATACGGTCCTGTATGTTAAATTTCTGCAAGCGGAAACTTCAAGAATACGAGACAGGTAACCCCCACCAGTTTGGCTATCCGATAAAGTAGACTGGTAATCTTACCTTTCCTGATGAAACTAAAAGCGCGTCAAGAAGTTATTTCATCGAATCACACCAACTCCCCACCGTGCAGCCAGCAAGACCCAAACCACATAACATCCTCTTCTAACTCCTTCCGCCCCTCAACATCACAAAACCCTCACCACCATCTCAACCCTCCCTATCATAACATCCCCCAAAGACTCCTCCTCACACCTCCTCACATCCTCCATCGCCCCCCGTAACACTTCCAACCTCGCTCTCTCCCTCACTCCCCCCTCTNATAACATCCCCCAAAGACTCCTCCTCACACCTCCTCACATCCTCCATCGCCCCCCGTAACACTTCCAACCTCGCTCTCTCCCTCACTCCCCCCTCTAAAGCCCCAATCCGGTCTTCCTTCTCCAAAAGCCTCCGTTCCAAACCCCCCCTCTCCTCACTAAACCCCCTCTCTAAAGATATAATCCGCACTTCCTTTTCTAAAACCTCTCCTTTCAGATGCTCTACTTTCTCCCTTTCCAGTTTGAAATCATCTATAATTCCATTCATGCAGGAGTACATAGATCCCAAAGCTACTCCATCGAATCAAATCGAATCAGTAAAATTCCCTTATTCTCATCACCACCCCCACCCCCACCTCCACCTCCACCTCCTCTTCTAAGTGAACTTACCTACAACCCCAAGACTCCCAAGCACACAAATCCAAAACCAGAAATCCGATTTCGTGATATTCGTTAATATCCCATCATCATCACCGACATTGACATCCTCACCCACACCCCCTATCCGCAGTGAAAACCCGAGGTCCAGGGTGAATTGTAGGAGGGAAGATAGAATCGTGGCGTTGTTTTGGAGATGTGATTTTGTTGCGAGTTCATACATGGTTAGAGGATGTAGAGTTTTTGTTCGGCGGGGTGTGTTCGGCTTTTTTGGGATTGTACTTGTAGTAGGAGGGAGGAGAGATTGGAGGAGGGGGGATTATGAAGGGGGTTTATGATGTAAGTTATAATAGTCGGTTATTTAGCTCCTACTTACTACTTACTGTAGCTGGCCGGTAGGTACTACCTAGATAGACCACACTATTCTCTTTACTGTAATCAAATCCCCGAGGATGATGAAAGGAAAAGGGGCGAAGAAAAACCTTGAATGTATCATCACATCTCATAACCATACCTCATAACGCCATTCCCCAAAACTCGCCCTAACGCCATTCCCCCTATTCCTCCCTCATTTCCCCCCCACAATCCAACCCCACCTAAACAGCATCAACCATAACAACACACAAACTAACCCAGCCATCCGCATACGCCGCCTCCCGCATGAGTTCCTCCAGCGGGGCTCTAAACGGCACACTCGCACCATGCAACACCGCCTCCGCCAGTATCGGATCCCTCCTACTAGGAAACAACGTCGGCAGCAAACTATTCAAAGCCATACCGAGCGTTTGCACCTCGCGGTTTGGTGTCCGCGGGGGAAGCAGCGTTTGGATGATCTTGAAGGATGCGAGGGGTGTGGGGTGGGAGTCCGAGGGAGAGGATTTGCCGGGTGTGGAGGGGACGTAGATGCGTAGGGGGATGTGTTTTAGTGGAATGGAGGGGTTGAGGAGGATGGAGGAGATGCGGTGGAAGGTTTGGTAGTCGTCTGTTTTGTACATGTTAGGATCTGTTGAAGGTCTATTGAGAGGGGAGGGAGGGAAAGACATACTATCAACAACGGAATTCCATAGCGTAGTACTATTCTCCTTGCTCATACTCATGATCCCCTTTGCAGTCCCATACCTTATGAAATCCGCCTGTGACACATCAGCCCCTGTCCCTTATCCCCAATCCCCAACCCCATCCCTCTACCGTCCCATCTCTCTACCTCCCATCCCCAACATCTCAACTCACCTCCTTCACACTATTCATAAAAGTGTCATGCATATCAAACTCCAACCCCCCCTCAACAACCACCCTCCACGGCAGCTCGGGCGCATACAAATCAGCCAACAGCCCAACCGGTAAATTCTTCAGTAAGATCCCCTCGTACGAGAAAGAGGAGCACACAGGGCCGAAGAACGTCGTGAGGCGTGGGAGCAGGAGGGGAAGGTATGAGACGCGGGGGATGTTGATGAGGTATGGGATTGGCGAGGAGGGGTGGCTGATTTGCAGTGGGATTGTGGACGACCAGATGAGTGATTGCATTGTGCTTTCGTAGTAGTGGTTATGGGGGAGTTGGTGGGTTTGGTGGTTGTTTGCGCATGGTTTTTGTAGAGTAGATGGGATGAGGAAGAAAGTTGGGAAGGCTGTGGTGAGGTGAGGACGAGGCTGTGACAGGGGGAAGGTGGGGTAAATGGTGGGGTGTGGGTTTAACGTACTTCATAAGGAGTCCGGATTTATAAGCAGTCCGGATGTTTTACCCCACCATCCAACTTTTAAAAGTCATAGAACTTTAATCACTTAATATTTATTTATATAAACTATACTATCTTTCTTATTCTCGATCTGGGCACCTAGGATCAGTATGCGCTAGTGATCTACATATACTACAGGTTCGTGGTGCACGAATTCGTGGTTCAATTAGCGGGGCCACAGCTTCATCCAAAACCATATTATCACTATTTTGAATAAGTTCCCTCCCTTCCTGACCTGTAAGAACACCCCCAGTAGCAATATATTGACGTCGCACAGTCTTCTTCTTCTCTTGACGTTCAGATTCAGCTCGTAAACGTCGATTTTCCTCTGCCAAAACCGTAGCTGATTGCATAGCCATCTTACACCATTTAACCAATTGATCTAATGCAATAGCAGTAGGGCTTGAGAGAACGTTTGTACGTCGTTTAATAGATGCTTTAATTGTCTGGGTTTGCTGATCTGCCTCATATGTATTATGGGGTGTCTCAGGGACCCAAGGTAGTAGGTTTGGAGAAAGTAAAGGAGGAGTAGGCGTATGTAATTGAGTATGTAATTTACTCAATACTTGATCTGGGTTGTACGGGACAAGGCCAGTAGTTGCGAATCCATTACAGATTGTGTTTTTGACCATAGTGTCACGAATCACGTGTGAGCACGTGACGAGTGAAGACCAGGCGGCGCCCTGACAGGTTAAGCACTATCATATATCTTATAGCAAATAGGGATGCTTAGGCTAGCTAAGCGATCCAGGGATTTCTTAGTATAAGAAGAGTCACGTGATCATGGTCGCCTGTATCGCCCAAGTCGCGAGCGACGAAAGCGATGTACGCGATCTAGCAGAGAACGAAGGTTCTATATAAGACTGGCACGTCTGCCATTAGATAGGAGCTTCGTGCTCAACTTAGTTATCAATCTTATCATATTAGTTTGACATCTTTGATACAAGTAACGAGTTCACTTCCAAGTGAACAACCCGATAGTCTTCTTCTTATCATAGCATACCAACCAGCGAACACCCAGCCAAGTTTAGTTAGCCAGTTTGAGTATTCGTTACACATAGTGCTTGTACGGGCTACACGATATATTGAAAGGAAGTCTGGTTTATCGATATGATATGTGCCGGCTCGTACTAGCTCCTCGACTCCTCGTCCATAAAGTCGCTTTAAAACTGCAAAGCAACTAACATCTAATGGCTGTAAAAGATGAGATGAGTGCGGTGGCATACAAAGCGTTATGATGTTATGTTCTGAACAGAAAAGATCGAATTCGGGAGTAGAATGACTACCATGGCCATCGAGGATTAAAAGTCGATATACTCCTTTTACACGGTCCTTGGTATATTTCTCAAATACGTCTGAAAGCCACTTAAGACCTAAGGAATCATTGGTCCACCCTTTATCACTAAGTGCAATTGTCCAATCTGCTGGTAATTGATCTGTATACCAAGTCGATATATGCACCTTGCCCTCAAATATAACCATTGGAGGCAACACCCATCCATCTGCACAAATTGATTCGACAACTGTAACCCATTCGCGATTCCCTGGTTGTATATGAATAGCCCGTCCTGTATATTCTGACCCTGTAACAACTTTTGCGGTCGCAATTACTCCCATCTGAAAGCCAGTCTCGTCGAAATTGTATATATCCTCCGCTAGTATACCATATTTCGCAACAATATTATGTACTAATCGAAACCAATCTCGGATAATCGTAGGATCCTCGCATTTTGCGCGCTTATAGTCGTATTTACGAGTGTATTTCGTCCGTAAAGAGTCGTGGCGCTTTATAAAGTTGTCAACCCAGCATTTTCCGACAATAATTCGACCTACTCCAGTTCGCTTTTCCAGTAGTAAATCGGCCATTTGGCGTATCGAATCTTTCCGTACTGGCAGACCTCTAGCTTCCATTGATAACATCCATTGTATAAGTGCTGATTCCTCGAGGTCGGTGAGTTTCTGGTTTCGGGGTCGGAAATCGCGTTGTGGAATAGCTCCCTTGACGCCGTCGTAAGTAGTAGAATATGGCGCATCGTACCTTGTACAAGCTGCTTTTAAGCTTGTAAATTGACCCTTATTGTATGCACTGATTGCAAGAGCAATTTGACCTTCTTTTCGAGACATTTGAACAATAATTGGGTAAGTTATGTAGATTGAAAGTATGTAGGGTGGTCAATGGTGGGGTAAAAAATCCGGACTGCTTATAAATCCGGACTCCTTATGAAGTACGTTAGAAGCCACTTACAACGAGGGGCTCCACGTGATATCTGAAGAAATGCGGTTTAAGCTAATAGAACATCAAGTCAATAACTTTAAAGCTCTTTACTTGACCATTTATTTTCTATCCAATGTCATACTCATAAATGGCAATCAATCAAGGACAGCAATCCGACCTAGAAGCAAAAACCCAGATAAAGCTCCCCTCCTCAACATCAAAATCACATAACACACATCCTCAAGAACCCCAAGCCTAATGAACAGGAACTCAATTCTCTATTCTATTCTACCCCTTCCTTAATATTCATCTACCAACAACTACAGTAACACCCTACTCCAACCCCTCAACTCTCCAAATCTTCAAAGCAGCATCACCCCCCGTACTAACCACCTTCCCACCACTCCCCCAACAAACCCCATAAACCCCATCCTTATGCGCATTCGCAGCCTTCACCCTCTTGCCAGGAGCTTTCAAACTCCACACGAAAACGTTAGTATCCAGTCCACCACTCAACAAATGGGTTCCCTCCTGATTCCACTCTAGACAAGTGACTCGTGCGGTATGGGCCGAGAAACGATCAGTTTTGATCTCCCAATTAGTCGTATCGTAGACGTAGATTTTGCCCGAAGAGGTACCACTGGCTAGTAGCGAGCCACTTGGGGAGAAGGAGAGGGCGGTGATTTGAGATGTGGATGTTGTGAGGGTTTCTGTGGGGGAGAGCTTGTTGGAGGAGTCGATGGTGTAGATGTGCACAATGTTTCGGTCGTCGCCGATTACTATGGTGGTTTTTGAGGCCGCAATTGAGGTTGGTGTGTAGTCTGAGATTGGGAAGGTGGATACAAGGTTGTCGTTTGAGAATATATCGAGTCCTGAGGATGTGGCTACAAATATTCGGCCTTCTGATGAAGCGACACCTTTTGGTTGGGCCGATAGCTTTGATGCCTCGCCTAGGAAAGTATTGCTTGAGGTGTCTGCAATTCTGAGAGTGTCATCCCAGCCAACACTGTATGCCCTACTTTCTGTTGTTGTAAATCCGGAGACTTGGTTAGAGTGGGTTTGTCCCTCTGCTGCTGAGCCAATACCCGAGTCGCTATCCCAAGAACAAACTCGACCATCGAAACTACCAGTCCAGAAAGTCTGACCTTTAGAACCCTCACTTGAACCCAGAGCCGTGATACTTCGATTGTGTCCTTGAACAACTTTTGTTGGCGTCTGAGTTCCCTCAACAAGGTAATTCAGATCACCCGCCAAGTTCAAACTGACAACCATTCCATCACTCCTACCAGCCGGCCATACAACACCAACCTGGTGATCAGGAATACTGACATTTCCCTCTCCCCCAAATCTCCAAGTCTGAACTGCCTTTCCGGCCTCCACATCCCATAGCTTGACTGTCTGATCAGCACTAGCCGTGACAAACCTTTTGGAATCCTTCGCCCAAGAAACTCCAAAAATACTTCCCTTATGCTCTCCCTCTCCAATCTGAACCGTAGCCTCTCCCGTCTTACCATCATATAGCTGAATCCTACGGTCCGCACCCACAGTAACAAGCTTCTCACCATCCGGCGAAAAGTCAACTCCATAAACGAACCCCTTATGCAGTCCTCCGAGCTTGTTATTGTATTTGAAAGGAGCACCATGTAAAAACACCATCGCACTATCATCCGCTCCTGTCGCCGCACGCAAAGGTCGTTGTTGACGTATCGAGACCGCATTAATGATTTTCGAATGGCCACTAACTTCACCGACAGAATTTCCGCTATCTGCTGTTATACAGTGACCGAATCGTTCCCTTCCATCTCCTACTGCGATGATACGTTGCGAGTCTCCGTCCCAGGCAATATCGTTTATGCGTCCAGATATAATATGGTATTCACCTATTCCGAGTCAATACCATGTATAGACTTGAATTTGAGCATCTCGAAGTGAAAAGAAGTACAGTTCTGTACCTTTTGTGTTTACCCCCTCAACCGCATCCCATACTTTGACCGCACCAGAGACATCTCCCGAAGCAACATAGAACCCGGATGGTGAGAACCTCGCAACGGTTGTTTGAGCAGTATGATTGTTATACTGTTTACTTTCCGACGGATTATCCAAAGAACGAAGGAAAATCGATTTGCCAGACTATATTACCCATGAATCAAAACGATTTCTTACAAATATCACAAGATTCTCGAACTTACAGCGTAAGCTATCCGTTCTCCTTTAGGATCGGTGGAGAGTTGAGTTGGGCGACCACGTTCTGTGGTGGGTGCCGCTGCGAGGATCTTCTCGATTATGACGGACATTTTGTGAGTTTGATTTTTTGAGAACCAGAAAAGGAATATGGGAGAACTCGAGAGGTTGAGGTTGTGAAGTTGTTATGTTGTGTTCGAGGGAGGGGAAAGAGGGGCATTGAAGCTCAAACCAAGGCTGACGCAGAGTCAATGCAAGAGCGAGGCTGTGAGAGTGGCATTTCTTGGCACCACCTTTGAGTCCGTACAATACTGTAAGATTTTACAAAGTACTCGTACTTTGCCCTGAACCTGACATTGACATTTCGATTGACTACGGGAGTCCATATTTCAACGCTACATTTATTCTGCCATGTTTGTTTTATATCTTGGTACAAAAAGAGCCTTAGCCTTCCCGGGTATCGTCCTCCCCAAGCAGAATCCAATCCCATACGCCCTGCTTTACCATGCACCTTTTAGGCCATCTTTTGTACAGAGAGCAACTGTACAGAGGTAAGAATCATATAGGAATCCTCAAAACGCCACGCAAGCCATACAAATGCACCCTTGTTAACACAACGCCCACCCACCAATTGCGCCGAATGCTCCCAAAGTCAATAAAACAGCAACATATCTTACGCTCCGATTGCCAAACAAGAGTCCAGAAGATTATCCAGATCAGTCTTGTCTTCTGACTCCCCTCCAACCCACCCGGAATCCACATCTGACTCGTAGGCGTGGCCATTGATTCCATTCACCGGTTCGGATGTATTCATCCCTCCCATTTCAACATCTCCATCAAGCTCGGTCGCATTTTCTGGTTCGTGCCCTTCGAGGAAAGTGTAATCATTCCAGGCTTCCAGTTCCCCCTCACGGTAGCCAAACATGATTTGTTGCATGATGACCGGCATCTGTCCTAAGCCGCAGTCGCTTATTTCGAGAGCCGTTCGGACGTCAGCCATTCCCAGGGGAGCTCGTTCGCTTGCGGCCTTGGCTTCGATCGGTAAGAGTCCCCCTTTATCACGTTGTATTTCCCCCCGCATCCACTGATCTTCCTCTTTCTCGAGTATCCTCCGGTATTTGTGTGTTTGAACCCATGAGGCACCGCCTCCTGTCCCAGCGCTGCCAGCAGTTCCAGGACCATTAGTCCTGGTCTTACTGAAAATTGAGGAGAGAACCTCTTTTAAGTATGTTTCCGTGGCTACAGACATAAAATGCGCGGCGTCACTGACATGGCCAGAGGTAAGACCGCCTTCATAACAAATTGGTAACATTCGAGATTCAATATTTTGCATATCCGGAAACTCGCCCGATTCTACGGCCAGTGTTTGGGCGTATCTTTTTCGAATCTCAAGGTCCCAATCTGGAAATATGTTTAGCATTTTTATATATGACTTTAGAGGGAAAAGGCCTACTCGTCTTATTTAGGCCGCCAGCACTCGCAGGTACCGGATCAACAATTCTTGCAGCCTTGGGACGATGGTGTTCCCCAAATACAGTCGCAAAAGCATCCTGCGGATCAAACTACAACAACCGAGTCAGTAATCGGCCTTGGAGAGGAAGCAAGTGGAGTTTCCATTGGCCCTACATCATTTTGACTCAAGTCTTTAATTCGTCTGCGATCCCTACTAGGTAATTGCATCACCTCGGTCTTCAGCCTTTGTTCCGCAGCATTACCAGTAACCGGCTTGCTCCCAATTCCCACCGTCGGTTTCTCATTTGCGCTGACCCAACTGGCCACGCCATGATCTGGCATTTCCCGGGTGACATTTGCGTAGATGGCCGCAATGAGCTGGTTATGACAATGTTCAATCTCGCCGCCCGGAGTGACCAAAAAATAATCGATTTGCTTAGATAGTTCGGATTGGTCCAGCGCACCTGGGAAGAGCCGCAGAATTAGTGATGGGATGCAAATAAAGTCGGGGAAGTATATGCAAGCACACCTATCATGAATGCGCCAAATGCCTTGGTATAGATTTTCCAGTTCTCGCTCCCAATGTCAGCTTTGAGACTCGCATAAAGCGGCTCGAGGTCGATTCTGGGAGGGACATGAGTGACTTTGGCTGCTTTGGGGACAATGGGCGCAGATAATGTTTTGGGCGGTAATATGGGGGTCGTTGAGATGGCGGGCCTGCTGAGGAGGGCAGCTGGGTCGATGTCAGGCATCGTGAAGAGAGTCGCGCCTGCTGCGGCCGATAAAGCGCGACGGGGAATTTCGATCAAGGGCCCATGAAAAGCGCGATGCCAGACGAATCTAGCGGTGCGAGATGGAGATGATCCAGCGCGGGGAGGGAGTGGTGAGGGATGGCACAAGATGAATCCGTCGCTTTGCGCTCGTCGGTCGTGATGATCTGGATGCCTGAGGTCGGTGGAGACTGCTGCTGGTGTCACTGTGGTAGAGTGCACCTGGGCTCCGTACTGAGGTGCGTTCCGTGGAGTGCACCTCCATACTGAATCGAGTTCCGACGGGGGGGGCTCAAGGGCTCAGGTCAGGCTCATGAGGCCTGTTGGGTTAGGCTGGGCGGGCGCTGAGCTTACAGTAAGGCTTGCTCTCGCTGGGTTGCAACCACAACACCAAAAAAGAGTGGCTCGCGTCTTTGCGCGTTCACCACCCTACAAAAGTACCCGGTGTACCCCCAGGGTATCAGAGAAAAACAACACCACCCTCTCAGCACTCGTCGCACCACCACACTCGTTACGATGCGACGATGTCGTCCTCCTCCCAAATCAAACGTATCGAGCGAATCGAACAAGGCATACAAGGTCTCGTCAAGAAATTATTCGTCAAGGATCCCAGCGAGTCAGAGGAGGATGAGGACGACAGAAAGAGCAATGCGGTGGATTTTGTAAAGCAGATTTTGGAGAGGTAGATGGCCATGGAATCCACAAAGGTGCATCTGCTAATACAGTCAAAGCCGCTCAAGAGGTCCCGCCGTAGTGGCAGATGCGAATCAAGCCTCGGATCTGATCAAGAAGCGATTGATACAGACCAATTCTAGTCCCGAAAAGGCGTTGCGATTTACGAACTTGTACAGCCGACTCCTCTCCATTCCAGCGATCAAGGAAAAATGGGCGGTGCTATACTTTCTGTACCAGATTGGCGACAATCATTCTCAGTCACCGCCGATCCTAACCAGTCCATTTAAAAGTCCGGTCAAGGCACATCGAGAAAGCAAGAGCATGAGCTATGTGCCTTCAAAATCTCCAGATTATGCATCCAAAAGACCGGAGAAACCATTCAAGGAAGCTTTTGCACCAGAAGGAATCCAAAAACTCCCCGCGCGTGAAGGAGGACAGCGAGATAGAAAAGAGGAAGAACAAATGTTTGCAAAACCACCAGCCGTGCAACGGGAGGATGTTGCTCTGAAAGCAGCATTACTAGCTGAAAATTATGTCGAAATCAATCCATCAGAGGCTACATTACTTCGAGAATTGCCTTTCACACTACAAGGATTATCTTCTACCAATCTAAAGTTTTCTGATGACGGCAGGACCTTGACATTGCCGCCGACTTTACCTGTGCCAATCGTGTCTATGTTTCACACATTGGCCGAGCCGGCTTTGTTATATAAGGAGCTTTCTTCTTTTGTGCAGACCGCTGAGGGTGGACTTCTGGGGCAGAGTTTACGGGCTGCTATTTCGAATGAGCTGCGATTATATCTTGGACTAGTGGCAACGTTGGAAGGACAAATTCGTCGGGCTCTAGCGTCATTGAACGAGAATGAACCCCGAGGGGGCCTTGGAAAGACTGGAGTAACGCTGAGGAGATGTGTGATTTGGACTCGGGACTCGACCGCAGGACTTCGTTTGATGAGTTTGATTAGCGAGGAATCAAAGAGTAAAAAAGGTGGACAGTTGATTTCTCTCATCCACAGCTTCTCAGTCTGTCATGGTGATCCAATGGTTGGAGCGTTTGCAGAGCGCTTGTTGGCCCATGTCACGAGACCATTTTACGACATGCTACGGCAGTGGATTTATGATGGAGAATTATCAGATCCACATTTCGAGTTTTTCGTGTCAGAGCAAGACCCAAATGCGGTGGTCGAAGCACCGGATGGAAAATCTCGTGGCGGGGCAAGCAGTGTTTGGGAGGACAAGTACAAGCTGAATGAAGATTTGGTACCTAGCATCATCACGCAGGATTTTGCTCAGAAAGTCTTTCTCATTGGAAAGTCCCTAAACTTCATTCGACATGGTTGTGGAGATTCAGAATGGGTCGAAGAATACTCCAAAGACGCATCAAAAGAGTTGCGATATGGAGATACTGCTACTTTGGAAGATTGGATTGATCAGGCTTACAAAACAACAATGACCCGTCTGATACATCTCATGTCTGAGAAGTTCCACCTATTTGAGCACTTGAAAGCTCTGAAAAACTATATTTTACTGGGTCAAGGAGACTTTATTGCTCTCCTTATGGAATCACTTGCTTCTAACTTGGACCGTCCTGCTGGAGCACAATACCGTCATACATTGACAGCACAATTAGAACATGCAATCAGACACTCCAATGCACAGTACGATTCTCCAGAAGTCTTACGAAGATTGGATGCTCGAATGCTCCAGTTATCACACGGAGATATTGGGTGGGATTGCTTTACTTTGGAGTACAAAATTGATGCTCCAGTGGACGTCGTAGTCACAGAATGGGGAAACCGACAATATCTCAAAGTCTTTAATTTCCTATGGCGTATCAAGCGTGTGGAGTTTGCGCTTGCTACAACATGGCGAAAGTGTATGACTGGAGCCCGAGGTATTCTTACAGGCGGTGACAAGGACGTTGATCAAGCCTGGAAATCCACACGGGGTGTTCTAGCCGAGATGATTCATTTTATCGGTCAACTTCAATACTATATTCTTTTCGAAGTTATCGAGAGTTCTTGGGATGAACTAGAAACTGCCGTTCATAAAGAAGGTTGTACCCTAGATGATCTCATCGGAGCTCACACCAAATATCTCAACGCTATCACTCACAAAGGTCTTTTGGGTGCCAAGAAGAGTCGCAATAGCGAGAATAGCGATAACACCTTCATGGTCCAGCTAGGCGACATCCTCATCCACATGCTCAATTACCGCGACGCCGTTGATGGATTATACGGTTGGTCAGTAGCAGATTTCACCGTCCGGCAAGGTATGGATTTTTCCGTACGAGCGGAACGGAGAGAAGATGAAGATGGTGTATTGATACCTACCCCAAAGACTGCACGAAGAGGACCTGCGAATCTTGCGGATTCCACACCAGCTTTGGATAGTGAAGCCATTCCAGATGAATTCCCTGTACTTCTTGAGAGATTGCAGCTTCTTGGTGCCAGTTTCAAGAAGATGGTTTGTGTACTGTTGGGCGACCTGGCATATCAGCCGGATGTGGATATGAGATTCCTGGGGGTGGTTATGAATTTCAATGACGTTTATCAGCCGACGAGAAGGAAAGTGAGGGTTCCCACTACAGGCAGAGGGGAACAAGGGAGGAGTTCTGCGAAACCGTGAGAAAGACTTTTGCTCTTCGATGTGAATCCATGGATGATTTGTGTTGGTCGGAGGCGTCCGTGAAATATTGGGGCGTTTTTGGAGGACGGAAAGGTTCCATTTGTTTATGTATATGGCTATGCCACAATGCAGGAAGGCGTCAGTGGGAAGCGTGTATGTCGATGATACCATTTTGTTGTCAGTAGCAAGGAAAATTGATGATTTGACTGCAATATCCCATCTTATCTTAATAGTAGCTGAGTAGCTGTTGTAGGTATCTCTGAGCAGGCAAGTCACGTGCATTATCAACCCTTGCCAAAAAAAAAAGATAAGAGCGATAAAAAAAACCCGGCCCCAAACAACCATCCCACCAAAAAGTTCGCGACAGCCTCATCATCAAGCTCCCAACACACTCCACAACAACAATGGGCAAACTCAAGAACCCCAAGCGCAACAGCGCTCCCAGCGCCTCCCCATACGCAAAAGCCCAAGCAACTACCAACAACGTCTTCAAATTCAACACCAATGTAGGCCAACACATCTTGAAGAACCCCGGTGTCGCAGAAGCCATCGTTGCAAAAGCCTTTCTCAAGCCTTCCGATACGGTGTTGGAAGTTGGACCGGGAACGGGGAATTTGACGGTTCGGATTCTGGAGAAGGCGAAGAAGGTCATTGCCGTGGAGCTGGATCCTAGGATGGCGGCTGAGGTGACGAAGAGAGTTCAGGGACGTCCGGAGCAAAAGAGACTTGAGGTTCTGTTGGGGGATGTCATTAAGATGGAGACGTTGCCGCAGTTTGACGTTTGTATTAGTAATACGCCTTATCAGGTTTGTTTTCCTTTTGCTTTTCCTTATTACGGTGGATTCATTGGATAATGGGATAGATGGGAAGTGGATTATATGCTAATTGGAACTTTTAGATTTCCTCGCCCCTCGTCTTCAAACTCCTCTCCCTCCCCAATCCACCCCGCGTCTCCGTTCTCATGTTCCAACGCGAATTTGCCCTCCGGCTTACCGCTCGCCCAGGGGACTCCCTCTACTGCCGTCTCTCAGTCAATGCCCAATTCTGGGCAAAAATAACACACATCATGAAAGTAGGGAAGAATAACTTCAAGCCACCTCCGCAGGTCGAATCCTCCGTCGTACGTATTGAGCCGAAGATGGGCAGTGAGAGGCCGGGTGTAAGTTGGGATGAATGGGACGGCATGTTACGAGTCTGTTTCGTGCGTAGGGGACGCACGATGAGAGCTAGCTGGTTGGGGAGTAGAGAGGTGCTGGGCATGTGCGAGAGGAATTATAGGGTTTGGTGCGCGATGAATAACGTCCCTCTCGATGACACACCCATGAACGAAGGCGAGGAAGACGACGAGATGGAACTCGACGAGACCTCAGCGCCGCCAGATGAGGAGGAATGGAATGGCATTGAGGGGGATGACGATGATACCCCCGCTTTCTTCGCGGAGTTAAATAAGAAGAATCGCGACGCGCGAAAGACGCCGAGTAAGAAGAGGAAAACTCGCGTGGCGGAGTTGGTCAAGGAGAAGATTCGTAAGGTTCTGGAGGATGTCACGGAGTTGGCGGATAAACGGTCGGGGAAGTGTGATGAGAATGATTTCTTGCGCTTGCTTTCGGCTTTTAATGAGGAGGGGTTGCATTTTGCGTAAGCTACGCAACACTCGATGGGATATTGGAGTTTGGGGGGACATTTGTGCATTTGTATTTAGCGGGGTGTTTTGGAGTTCTTGGGACCTCAGGATGTATTGTGGTATTTCTCTTCTATAAAATTTGTTGAGATCAGTTTTCTGAGGGTATTGGAGTATGGAAGTAGGTACAGTAGGACGAAAATTCGAATTCTGTTTCTGCATTATATACTCGTATACCAGATCTCACAATTGCCATTCTTATTGATTGAAGGAGAGAGGAGAGATAAGTTTGATAGTAACATTTTACTAAACGCTATGAAGATCCAATGGTGTAATGGTATAGGTCTTTCGTTCGTAGGTTGATAGTAGAATCTATCGCCCCAAATCGGCGAAACCGAATAATATGGTAAAGAGAGAGGGTGAACAGTCAAAGCTGGACAGTGTCCTTGACTATATTACAGCTCACCCCAGATTTTCAACTGAACTAGCGAATTGGAGACTTGGTTCTGGGTTATGTAGAAGTACTTTTCTCATATACTCAGTATGATCTGCGTGACAGTGTCCAGCTTTGGATGACAACCCTCCTTCGTACCGATGGTCTGGGATGGAAATTTGGATGTACTGGGGTATTTGGTAAAAGTAAGGGAATGAAATGTGTAATTGTTGTTGTTGTTGGATATGATATTGGATACGAGTATTGGTAACCGGTGTTTTGTACTTTGGACAAGTAACTTATAGAATGGGCTTATCTGATTGGGTATTATTCTGGTTGAGGGGGAAGCCTACCTATGGTATGTAGGACGGTTAGCACGTTGCGTTGCATTGCATTGCGTTATCTTTGTATTCCCCGAGTCACAAATTTTCGAACCAACCAACAGAGAAGAGAAAGACGAGCTTGAGAGCTCTGAGTTGTTCAATGACGATTTGTGTGACTTCGTATTTGGCTCTTTGGAAAGAAAATGATTGAGGGGCTGGGTTGGTTTCTATGATATGTGATGTGAAGAATTCCTCAACTCGGCTAGTGTAGCTGCCATCCACCAGCCACCAGGCAGATCGTCAGCCACGCGTCTATTTTGGGAAAAGAAGGACGTTGGTTTTTCTCCACTCTCGTTTCATGTGTTTACTGCGATGACGATGCGTGGTTCCTCGCGTGCAATTTAAGGGTTTTCTCTGTCCTTGGTTCACCGTCACTTACTGTTGTTCTTTCTATATCTGGTATGGATCTTTGATTGGGATGGGCGTCTTCTGGGGGAATTGGGTGGGAATCGGCAGGGAGTGAGCATCAGATGTCTACTATACGAGGGGTGCAGCGAATGGGGGGAGCAGATTTGGGGATGGACGGAGTATAGCATGACAAGGAGGAGATCGATGCGGAGACGAATCTTGCGAAAGAGATGGATGGAAATATACTGGAGTACTCCGTCTTATTCCACGTGGTTTGGTCTTCTCATTGCAAGATAAGAGGCGGGAGGCAGAAATTCAATAATTCATGCATTCCCATTCCCCTCCCAGCCTTCATTCATCATTCATCACCAACCACTTCTCACCACCTACAACTTCAACCTCGTCCCATATATAGAGGACAAGATTGGGCAGGAGCCAACGGTTCTTGATATAAAAAGCCTTCATCGTTCATCCGTCTTTTTAAAGTTTAGGAAGAGACATCCGTGACTGCCTTCCAAGACTGAACCTTGACACTCTGTTCGGACGATCCGCGAGAAGGACCAGCTATCCCCGACGAGCTGAGGTGCTTTTACTGAAGTATTTCTTCATAACTGGAGAGCTTCACGCAAGTTGTCACCAGAGGACTTTTGTCATTTCTTGAGAGAAATTTGAGTTGTTTTATCTCGCATTCCACGTCTCTGGGAAAGTTTTCGATATCAGAAACGTCGTCAATTCGAAGAACAAGCTTGTTATTCCTCCAAGGAAAATCCTATCTCCAAAATGGTTTCCTCAACGACTGTCCTTCTAGGATTTGTGTCCGGTTCTCTCGCAGCTCTTCTACCCCGTCAAGCAACTCAATGTACTTTCTACGCCAATGCTGTGGGTTTGGAAGGAAATCCAAATGTTAGACAAGACACCATTGGACAACCCAAAATCGGGGGTACATTCCCATTGGCAAAATACATCATCGACAACAACAGCTTGAAGGATACACAAGGCCACACCTGTATCATCTCACCCGAAGACTCACAACTCCAATGCACCACAGGCGTTCCCCAAAATACTGTCTTTACATTCTCCAACGATTTCCACATCCTTCACAACTATAATTCAAAATGGCTCGCTTGTCCATCTTCGGGTCCAGGAAGCGATGGAAGTCAACTCATCTTCAGTGATGCAAAACCAGATAAAACAGGCTGTTCCGAAATCGAGCTCCTAGCAGGAGGTTTCGGTTGCGCCGCTCTAGGACGACCAGAAACCACCACCTCTCCCAAATCAGCCCGCAGCACACCAGCACCCTACCAAAAGGTAGAAAACACCTCCGCAATCTGCCCAACAGACATCAGCAGCGGCACCTTCCAATTCCCCCACCTAATCATCCCCACCTCCCTCACGAACCCCGACCAAATCTTCGGAACCTCCTACACAGCCTACATCTCAGCCTCCAACACCACCCTCTACACCTTCGACATCCCCGCCACGGCGCCCTACCTCGGAACCTGCTCCTTGATCTTCCAATTCCCCTACGGCTCCGAACTCGACCCGTCCGTGCCGAAATTCTACTTCTCTGGCTTGGAACAGCAGGAGTTGGGGGGTGGTGGGCTGAATTTCGCGCTGCTGGAGGGTGCGGTGACGAATGAGACGTCGGCGAGTGTTACGCCGGGTGTTAAGACGGATTTTGGGACGAGGAAGATGGTTCCTGGCACCAATATGACGGTTGGGACGTTCCCTTGTAAGAATTTGAATGGGAGGGGGACGGTTAAGGTTAGTAGTGTGGGGGAGGTGGAGTTGGATTATTTTCAGGATTCCAGGAGGCAGGCTATTGGGTTGTATGTTGTTCCTTGTGCATAGGGGTGGAAGGAGTGGTATTTCTTTTGTCATTTTTCTTACTTGATGGGTTGAGTGGGTTGATAGACTTGGACTTGGACTTGGGCATTTTTTTGCGATGCGGCATGGATATGGATATGGGATAGAAAAATGGTGTGGGGACTTGTATTTTGGGATTAGAATGGATGGGAGATTATAATGGTAATGGTAATGGTAATTTGAGGAACTGGGGGTTGGGGCAAGTGGAAGTGGTTGACGAGTGAGAGAGGGACGGGGGTGGGGGGTATAGATGGGGTGAATAGTAGTAGTAGTAGTAGTATTTTTACGCCGGGCGGATTACCAGCGAAAGCCGGATCTCCTGTGACCTCCCGAGGGGTATAGGGGCGTGCTAAGCTACGGAATTATACTACGGAATTATATACAAAAAGGGGCTGCCCTTGTTACAGCGACCGGAGAAAGTATTTTATACGTAAGGCTATAGCTTTAAAGCCTATTAAATATAACCCTTCTACTCTATTTAGGATAGGTACTAGAAGGTTATATAGGATTTCCCTAGGTAATATTCGCCCTAGTAGATGTGACGGAGCTGGATTTCATTTGACAGGATTTCATTCACTTGGCCAAGCACGTGACGAGACTTGGCATTGGAACAACTTAAATAACTTCGCTCCTTTCAGATTCTCTTCTCTCTTTAGTTTGATTTCTTCGTACCTACGGTTTTAGTTCTAGCAATTGATTCAAAAGCTGTATACACTTTATCCTTTGTTGGCATCCGTGACAGTAGAGTTAAAGGTAGCTATCATACTATATTTATATATTCCTATAAGGAACTAGGATTAATACCTAGTAGGCTCCGACAAAAGAGATGTTTTCATGTTTTTATATAAAGAAAGTCGCTAGTTCTAAAGAAAATAATTATAATTAAGAATAAGTCCCTAGTTTCTAAAAAGTCGCTAACGCCTATAGAAGTTAATAGAATAAAAAACGAAAATTTGTTTTATAAGTACCTAGGTATGACGAAACTCAAACTATCTAACAAAGGTAATCGTTTCGACGGTTGGTATGCGTGTAAGAAGTACAGATGCGCTGGGTTGTTTACTCGGAGGCAAACTCGTCACTTGTTAACAAAGAAGTAATAACTTAATAACTAGATTGCTAAACTGAGTTGAGCACGAAGCTCCTATCTAATGGCAGACGTGCCAGTCTTATAGCAAAACGGGATTGGTTAGGATGGCTAACCGATCCAAGGATTTCATTTGGTTGCAGTCACGTGATACTATGCAGGTCGACTTGTAGCCCAGGCGATAAGTCGGTCGACAAAGTCGCCAGGCGACCAAGTCGACTTATTATTATTATTATTATTCCTTTCAACGTGCTGTGTGAGTCTGAGACTATAGTAGCACGGCGGGGGGTTTCCCTCCAACAGATGAGTAAAGCTGTACTAAATACATGTTTGAGAAGGGGGTTATGGTCATTACAGTTCTTGGTCCCTCGTTTCACGCCCTGTACGCTACACTTCCTCGTTCTCGTCTTCCTCGTCCTCGTCTTCCTCGTCCTCATCTTCGTTCTCATCCTCGGTTGCGCGTTGTGTGTGCCATATTCTAGTGGCGATTTTGGTGGTTCGAATAAAGTCAAGTGTGGCCTCGACTCCTTTGGCGGTGTGAAGGAGGGATTTCATGGTGAACTCTCGAATATGATGCTTGAGGAGGTTGCGCTTTAGTACTTTCCTAGCATCACCAGTTTCTGGAAAGCTAAGAAGGAGGTGAGTGGGAGTCTCTTGTCTTCCACATCTACAGCGGTTGTTGGTAGTGTGGCCGAGCTTGTGTAGGTATGATTT